TGCACGCGTCAGGCAGAATCTGCCGCCGCCCATCTGCTTCCTGTAGGACAGCCAGTGTGTTTCCTGGGTGCTTTCCCTCTGATGAGCCTTGCGGAGGTGGAGGAAGGTGTCCCTCCCCAGCTGTGGCTGTCAGTGGCCACTCATCAGCTTGCACACCCATCCTGCAGACAGGCTGCTCCGCCCTCCTTCAGCTTAGACTCAACCCTGCATTTTCTACCTGCCTGGGAGCCCTGGGGGCCACCTGGCCCTCTGGCAGCCTTGACTTGCCAGTACCTGGCTCCTGACTTCAGCGACCCGGCAGAGCACCAGCTGTGTCCGGCAAGCTGGCCTCTCCAACAGTGCTGTGCAGATAACACTGGTTTACAGCTCCCTCCCACCGCCTCCCCCTCACTGGGTCCCTGAGGATTCTTTCTAGATTGTTCTGTTCTGCATGCTTGGTACACCGTATTCCATCAATTCTAAGATGCTTATATTTTTCACTTTAACATCTCTGAAAGTGAACGTGTCTGCAATCAATGTTGCATTATAGTTTACGTTTTAGGTTTTCAGTGGTATGTAAAATGGCAGCATCGTATAATCGGTGCATCTGAAATTCCCATTCCTTCATGGGTTCTCTCAAGCACACTTTCCACAGACATCCTCCGGCTGAGAAGGCTTCCCCAGATTCACACTGGAGTCGTTGTACCCTGACTTCCTTTGATATTTCCATATCCTCTTCCACACGCTTAATACTTTGTCATCCATTTGCTGTGAGTTCTTTGACAGGATGACACTTATCGAGACTGTTTTAACTGAGTTGAGTTCATAGATCTTGCATCGTGTCACATTATTTTTGTTATTCTGCTCGCTTATAGGTTTGAAGCTATTCAAGTTACTTTTCGGCAGGCCTGACTGCCTCTGCTCGGATATTTCTGGCTCAACAACGCTTGAACGAGGTTCCTTAACTTGGGGCTTTGTGCAAACAAAGGAATTTATTGAAAAGAATCAAAATAGTTGTCTTAGTTATCTAGTGCTGCTATAACAGAAATACCACAAGCTGATGGCTTTAACAAAGAGAAATTTATTCTCTCACAGTCTAGGAGGCTAGAAGTCGGAATTCAGGGCACCAGCTCCTGGGGAAGGCTTTCTCTCTCTGTTGGTTCTGGGAGAAGGTCCTTGTCATCAATCGTCCCCCGGTCTAGGAGCTTCTCAGCACAGGGACTCTGGGTCCAAAAGATGCACTCTGCTCCCGGTGCTTCTTGCTTGGTGGTATGAGGTCCCTATCTCTCTGCTCCTTTCTCTCTCAGTTTATCTCTTATAAGAGAAAAAATGGTGCAGGCCACACCCCAGGGAAACTTCCTTTATATCAGATCACGGCTTTGACTTGAGTAAGGGTGTTGCATCCCACCCTAATCAGCTTTAACATAACCTAACCTTGCCTCATGAACCACAGCCAGAGATTAGGATTGACAACACATAGGAAAATTACATCAAATCAGAAAATAGAGGACAACCACACAATACTGGGAATCACGGCCTAGCCAAGTTGCAACATTTTGGGGGGAACACTATTCAATCCATGACAATACTTTTGTTAAACTCTACATCGATTTATTAAACAGCTGAAGGCACCCACCCAGCCACCCCCTCCACACACACAAGTACAGATCTAGATGGCACAGGTGGTTTGCACTTGACTGCTAACCTGAAGGTTGAAGGTTTGAACCCACCCAGCAGCACTGAAGAAGAAAGGCCTGGCAATCCGCTTCCATAAAGATTACAGCCAAGAAAACCCTATGGAGCAGTTCTACTCTGTAACACATGGGGGTGCCAAGAGTTGGAATTGTCTCAACAGCAACTAACAACAACAAGCAGTGCGTGTGCACACACACGCACACACACAGAAGGACACGGAGAACAGGCCTAAGTCACTGGCGAATGACAGAGCTGTGTTCTCATTGAAAGCAAATGCGTCTTCACTATAACTTGGAGTTAACTACCTAGGAACAAGGGCTCAGGGCCAGGTCTGTGTCCTGGTCCTGTTCCTAGATGTCTGGGTCTCTCCGTCTCTCGGTCATCCTACCTTGTCTGCTCTCTTGTTGTCCTGGAGACCTTCAGGCCAGGGCACCATCCCTGGCCTCCCAAGTCAATCTCAACCAAGCTGGCAGCAATCAGTGTTGACTTGGAGGTGCGTGGGTCCAGACATGGTCCAGCCAGCTCAGCCCAGATCCCACCTGCTCACCAACCTGGTGACTTCCCTCCACCTCCACCCTATCTGCCTATTGGCCTCTTTCCCCAGGTGCAATGAGGGCAGCTGGCAGCGTCTTGGGGAGCAGTGGGACCCCTGACCTCGAACTCCAGGGATGACATCTTCTTAACAAGTTTTAAATTGCACAGAGGTCATTGACATGATGGTTGTTATGATGACTGGGATGAATCTCAGGCACTTAGCTGTTGGGACCAGGGGCCCTATGCTCCTACAAGGCAAGGGAAGTCCTGCTCAAATGGAGCATCTCATCGCTTTACCCACCATCAGTCGATGTTTCTCCCAGGTCCAGCTGACCTCAGGCTCGCTGCCCCTGCCTGGAGCCGTCTATAGCCTCGTCCTTCACCCAGGGCTCAGAATCTCGGCTGGATCGGGGAGACCCTACCTCGTGCTGTCCACCCCCCAGTCCGAGATGCCCATGGGTACCCGGATGGGTCAGTGGGGAGATGATGCCATTCCTTGCCACAGGGGACCCTAAGGAGGGTCTGGGTGGGGAACTAGACGGGGAGGATGGACATCAAGTTTAGACGTGATGTAGGAGCTGGAGGGTACAGCACTGATGAGAACACAAGGCTCCTACCTGGCGCCTCAGACACAAACTCCTCCATGGGAGGCTCAGGCATGGAACCCGGGGTCTTGGTTGGGTTGCGGGGGGCCTTGACGGAGTGGTGGGGCGGGGCCTTGATGGGGCGGGGCCTTGACAGACGCCGGACCTCAGGGAGCCGGGATGTGTCAGAGCCTTGATGGAGGAGGGGCCTCAGTGGGTGGGGCCTTAGTGGGACGGGCCTCAGCAGGGGCGGGGCCCTGGCAAGTGGGAGCTCTGTGGGGGCCGGGCCGGCTGCTTAGAGACCACCTAGTATTTCCTGTGGCGCCACCGTTGGAGTAAAAGGGGACCTTCCTGAGGGGGTTCGACCAGCTGAGTAGAATTACCCCAGCCTCCTGTGTCATGAGGAACAGAGATACAAACCAGGGAAGATTTCTGTGCTACCTAGACCATTTTCTGAGGTTTGAAAAAAACAGGATTATAGCAAAACACTAAAAAAATAAAATAAAACTAAAAGCGAAACAATTGCTAGAATAGATTTTTCCTGTGTTTAAAACACAGGACTTCGAACAGGTTTGAACCTCTGCTGAGAATTTACATTTCCGCCTCAGATTTGCTGAATCAGACTCTACATTTTAACAAGATTCCCAGGTGATTCTTAGAAGTATAATTTTTTTTTTTTTATTCCATGTATTTGGATTTATTTTAAATGACTTGCTTTTTTTTTTAACCACACTGATACCATCCTCAAAAAATGACTGAGAAATATTGCATTTGCTCTGAATAATGCTAAATCTCTGAAAACTGCATTGTCATTCCACTGAAATCAGCTTTTTGACAACGTCCTTTGCATTTTTACTGTCCCTATGACTGAGCACGGTAATTCAGAACCACAGCCCTTATCTATTTGTTCAGATTTTCCTACTTTCTTATCCGTGTTGTCACTGGGATGAGATTTTTTTGCGTGAATCTCTTTCCCGTTTTACCTGATTGCAATTTAGCTTCATATCTGAACCCTATCAGCATTCCTGACAGTGTGCCCTTCTCCGTGAACCGTGGGCATTTCTTCAGGTTTTTCTATTTTGTTCAATGAGATTACCCGAGGTTTCCTCTTCCCATCTCCAATCTCAGCAATATAAAGTTACATTTTTCACTTGGGTGGTAGGTACACGCTTGTTTTATCATTATTGTCATTTTCTCCTGCTTTGCTCCACAATAATTCTCTGTAATATCGGGATGTGCCAGGTGCAGGGGTAAGATTACAATAAAGGAGTTGCAGATCTTCCTTCCGTGATCAAAACAAAGTCTTTCGCTTATTTGAGATCAACATATCATACCCTCCAGCCTCTTCTGCTGAGAAGATTGACAGGTTGCATCATTCAGACCCACTGTTCAAGAGATAGCCTGATAGCGACTTGCTTCAAATCATCTCCAGATTCCAAAAATGCCAGCACTGATGACATGGGCTCTTCTATGTTAAGCTTCATCAGAGAGGAAAAAAGACCTTCTTCCTGGTCCCCTCTCACCACCTCCCCCTGCTTTTGCTCAAATACCTGGCTCCGTGCGCCATCTTTGTTTCTTCCTCTTAAGTATAATATTTTTTGAGCACCACTAGTGGTTCTCAGAATTGGCCCCTCACCAGCAGCATTAGCATGGACTGGGAACTTGCTAGAAATGCAACTTCTCAGCAGGGGTTCAAACCAGACTGAACTGGTTGGAAGCCCTGGTTTAAAAATACTCTTTGTGGGGGAAAAAATTGAAATAACTCTCCCTAAACACATACACAGAAAAGCTAGAAAAACATATTCTAAACTATTGCAAATAGATCTCTCGGGGTTTTGGGATTAATGGTGATTTCTTTTTGAAAAAAGTCTATAGTTTCTCATTTTGCCATAATGAAAATGTATTACTTGTAAAACAAAATGCCTTTATGAACTACAAGTTTTTAAAAAAACTGAAAAACAAGATCTTTAAAATGATTTCTTTTGTGACTTCTACAGACTGGCTCTCCAGAGCTGCTGGTTACAGGATGTACATGTGTGGGTGTGACGGGCCAGGGGTGAGCAGACACCACCATGTGTAAGGGCCCAGAGCTTTTTCTGGAACCTCGGCCACTTCCTCAGCCTCATTAGTCTCTGCTGCAGATGGCCTTTGTGGTTGGGTGACGCTCCAGCCACTTTAAGTGTGCTTCTGTTTGGTTTCTGTCCTCAGGCATCCGAGGGCGTCCCCATGAGGTTCTTCACCAAGCTGGACCAGCTCATTGAGTTCTACAAGAAGGAGAACATGGGCCTGGTGACTCACCTGCAGTACCCTGTGCCCCTGGAGGAAGAAGATGCCAGTGACGAGCCCGAGGAGGAGACGGGTAGGCGGGGAAGGCAGGAGGCCGGGCAGCTGGCTCAGCAGGGAGGTGCCTTAGGGACCACGTCCTCCAAGGAACATGGTGGAGAAGTGCTGGATGTTTCTCTCCCCTCGAATGCTTGCATAGAAGGTGAGTTCGAGTATCAGAAGAAAAGAGTGTAGGATGGTGGTTAAGAACAGGTTAGGAACACAGACTCTAGGGTCAGACAGACGTGGGTCGGAATTCCTGGTCCCTAGTTTATTAGCTGTGTGAGCTTGGGTGAGTTACTTAACCTCTCTGAGTCACAGCTAACTCCTTAAAGAGACCATCAGAATAGTATCTGCCTCTCGTTGTCAAGAGGATCAAATGAGTCAATGAGTGTGAACCACGGAGCTTGGTGTATAATAAGTGCTCAATAAATGCAGCTACTGCCACCATCATTATAATTAGCTGAGTCAGCAGAATGAAGGAAGCGATCCTTACAGCTAACTGAAAGGATGGTAAAGGTGTTTCTTCATGTCATCGTTCAAACAAAAAGAAACATGGCCACTAAAAAGTATGTTAGAATCAGGCTTGCCCTTTAAACAGTGTAGGACCAAGACCAGCAAAGCTAGAGTCAGAGAGACAATGGGTGTGCAGAGGCGTCACCTGGGCAGGCCCTTCTTTCCCCCTCAAAGGCTCATTTCCTAAAAGAAAGCCACTGGAGACCTAATAGAGGGGGCAGTGGTGGTCCAGGGGTAGAATTCTCGCCTTCCGAGCAGGAAACCCAGATTCGATTCCAGCCATTGCACCTCATGCGCAACCACCACCCGTCTGTCATTGGAGGCTTGCGTGTTGCCATGTTGCTGAACAGGTTTTAGTGAAGCTTTCAGACTAAGACGGACTAGGAATAAAGGCCTGACAATCTACTTTCAAAAATCAGCCAATGAATACCCTATGGTTCACAATGGCCCAATCCCATTTTGCATGGGGTCACCATGAATTGGGGGCCAACTTGGTGGCAGCTAACAACAACAACAAGATACCCAGTAGCCACAGATCTTGCTAAATCCCAGCACCTGGCAACAACCAGGCCCTGCAGGGTCTCACCCCAGAGAAGAGGGAAGACCAGTGACACGAGGCCCCTGGCCTGGCTCCAGCCCACGTCTGGTGTGTTGCTGCCCGTAGCATGCTGGTGCCCCTTTATCACACTCTAATGGGCTGGCTTGTGGCCATCAGCATCCCTTGCTTCCTTCCTCCCTCCTGGAGGCCCCCTCTCAGGGATTGCACCATCCCTGGCTTCCCAGTCAGGGGGTAGACTCTGACAGCAGCCTTGCCAGCTCTAGGGGGAGAAGATGAGGACCAGACAAAGAGCATTTCAGAAAGGACCATGACTCCACAGAAGCTGAAAGGGACGCAGGCAGAGCCACTTCCCTCTGCCTCCCTCGTCCGAGTAGGAGGTATCCTTGGGGACCCGGAAGGTCGGCTGTGGAATCCCCAGAGCTGAGAGTCCAAGGTCACTCCCCAGCCCTGTATCCTTGCTGCATGTAGCCCACGCCTCCAGGTGCCCGGGGCCCCACCAGGCAGCATCCCCTGGGTGGCACCCCCTGGGAGAACAGCTGAGAAGTTGTTCTGTAGAAATGCCCTCCATATATTGACTGCCCTCACTTCCCTGTGCTCTAGCCCAGCTTGTTCTGCCCCCCTGGGCCGGGTTGTCTGGCCAAAGACCCTGAGACACTTTCTAGAAGGACCAGAAAGAAAGACCCAGTCTCATGACTGCCACTTCACTTCCCAATATGAGGCCCAGTGGTCAGCTTGAACCAGCACGGGGGCCCCCACCCTGAGGGGGGTCTAACTCAACTCAGGTCTCAACAGTCCCTGGGGCTCAGGACAGGAGAGGAGCGAAGGAAACTCAGTGAAGCGGGGTGTATGTGGCCGACCTGAGATGTGGGAGAGGCTCAGACAGGAGGTTTTGGACCCAAGAGACTCACTGTCAAGTGGCCTTCACACTGACGTTGTGGTCAGTGCAGGACGGAAATTCTCCTAATGCAGCTGTGAGCAGGGGTCCGGTCTCCCAGGGCTGAGTTCAAGTCATTTATCTCAGATTCCAGTTCTCCAGACAAAGACAACCCCTCACTTCCTGTTATTTGTCTCTGAGGATCTAGTGGGGGAGAGAAGAAAGGGCAGAGGCAGGACAGAAAGTGCAGAGAGAGAGGTCGGTGGGAGGAAAGGAGCCATGTGGGCCTGGTTGCCTTCTGCCCTTCTCCCTGTCCCCATCTGTAACTGGGCTCTGCCCCTCTGGGGCTGTATCTTGCATGAGCCCCTGCCTCAACCCTGAAAGCCAGGCCTGTCCTGCTGACCTGCCTGTGGTCCCAGGCCCTGCTCCCTGTCCTGGCAGCCCTTTTCTGGATGAAATCTAAGGGTATCAGCCTGAGCCACCATGGGCCATGCTCTCAAAGGCTGACCTGAGGCTGCTGGTGGTCTTGTCGAAAGTCAGCAGCCCTGAGGCCACCCAGCTGTCTCTCCCTGGACTCCATCAGGCCTCTGCAGCCTGAAGTATCTTAGTGATACAGGCACTGTGCTAGCTACAGGGTCCAAAGATCACTAGGACTAGGTGCCTGCTCTCAGGAGGCTTCCCATCTAGTCAGGGAGAGACATGGAAGCAGGAAGTGGTGGGAACCATAGAAACCATAGGCTCGGAAGGGGCCACTTCTCTCTGAGCCTTATGGATGGGGATCTGTACAACAGGCACAATGCCCTTGACCTTGTCAGGTAAAAAACCAGATGCCCTCAAGTCCGACTCATGGTGACCCCATGTGTGTCAGAATAGAACTGTGGGACTTCTGGGCAACATGATGCTATAGACAGAAGCACCACGTCATCCCTCCACAGCAAAGACACGAAAAACTAAGTCAGACAGAGACAAGCCTCAATCCTGAAACCCTAAGCACCAAATGAAGAGAGAAAGAGCTCAGCAAAGCACCAAATGGAATAATAAACTGACAGAGAACAGAGAGTGAGGAGAGTTATGTGCAGAGGTCCCTTATCAGCTAATGCAGCACGGATTCGTCATCTTGGACTCCTGTCAGAGATCGGGAAACAGGGAGTATGGGAAGGCAGCTTCATGGAGCTCCCAGCAGGAGACAGAACAACCAGTAATCAGCGATATAACAACTTTCCCACACCCCACTCTTCTTCACACACACTCAGCCTCCTCTGCTTCCTCTGGCTACAGTCTCTTGGCCGGGAGGTACTGGCTTCAGCCCTGTGCCACTTGGATTCCACCTGCCCACACTGGCCGGCTCCCTGAGTGTCATTTGTTGGTAGCTGGTGTTGCTTTTTTCTGCTTCTTTTGGTTTCTTCCATACCTCTCGCCACCTCCTCCTCCTTTCTCTCAAATACGTGGCTCTGTGTGCCATCTTTGCTTCTTCCTGAAAGGCTGTGAAATGCCTCTTGACTGAGGAACTGCTTCGCAGCCCGTACTGCCACGCTGTTGGGATCCCCAGGGCTTTTTTATTTGTTTTGATTTGTTCGGTTTTGATTTGTTTGTTTGTTTGTTCTCTTTTTCTTTTCTTGGTTTGGGAGCCCCTTCTAGCTGGACTGTACTGCACAGCTTGGGAGCTACTTCCCCAGTCTGCGCAACTGCACAGTGGGATCCCTGGGAACATTTCTTTTTTTTTTTTTTCAGTTTTTTTTTCCTTTTGTTTTCTTTTCTCTTTTTTCCTTTCTTCATTTATCAGTTGCTCATCTCTCTATACTTACCTTCTCTTCCTGTCTCTTGAATACCTGGCTCTGTGAAACCTCTACCCCTTCTAGCCAAGCTGTAATTCGCAGACTGGGAGCCACTTCCCCAGTCTTCGCAGCTGCACTGGTGGGATCTTTACTTTTCTTTCTTTTTCTAATTTTTATTTATTTATTTTCCTTTTTGTTTTTCTCCATTTCTTGGTCTCTCATCTCTCCACTCCATGAAAAGCTCCCTAGCACTCTTTTTTTTGTTTGTTTGTTTGTTTTTGGCCCCTGCTTCTCTCTCCTCTTTCCCATATGCATCTCAGCTCCACACATCACAATCTCCCCCCTACTTCTGACCTATCTGCACCATGCAGTGAACATCACACCCCTGAGCAGCACAGGCACAGCCTACCAGAACCTGCCCTGCACTTATTCCAGGCCAGCCCTGTTGGCCCTAGTATGTGACACAAACAACCCATCCCAGAAACTCCCTTTCAGTTGGACCTGCCCTGCTGCACCATAGCTGAGCAACAGACCCTGCCCATTGGACAAGGAGGCAAAATGTATCATTCCCACAGACAAGCAAACAACAAAGACACACAGCCTGCTTGCTCAGACGTAACCAAATAAAACAAAAAGGCAGGACAAAATAAACAAATCTACAATCAATAAAAGAGGAAAATAACTACTGAATGTCCCAAAGAGAGCAGGAAATATCAAAACATATTAAAAAAAAAAAACAGGACAGGATGGTTCCACTAGGCATCCAAAATAAAACACAGGATGGCTTTCCAGTAGAAGAAAAGGCACTAGAACTACTTGATAGGGAATTCAAATCTCTAATATTCAGACCTATCCAAGAGTTGAAGCAAAAAGCAGACAAAAATGAGGAAAAAATAGACAAATTCATGGAAAATACAGACAAAAATGGAAAAATTCAGGAAAATAATGCAGGAACAAAATGCAAAAATAAATTCACAACTAGAAATCATACAAAAACAACAATTAGAAAACCAAAAGATAAACAACAAGATTTCAGAAACGTACAGTGTCACAGAAGGGCTGAGGAGCAGGTCTGAAACGACAGAAGACAGGATCAGCAAAATTGAAGACAAACACTTGGATACAACTCTGTTTGAGGAAAAATCAGGAAAAAGAAGAAAGAAAAATGAAGAAACCCTGAGAATTATGTGGGATACAATCAAAAGCAAAAATCTGTGAGTGCTTGAAGTTCCAGAATGGGGAGAAAACAGAAAACACAGAGAAGATCACTGAAGAACTGCTGAGAGAAAACTTCCCCAATATCATGATAGATGAAAAGCTGACCATCCAAGAAGCTCAGCGAACCCCGTATAGGATAGACCACGAAAGAGAATCACCAAGGCGTATCATAATCTCACTTGCTAAAACCAAAGACAAAGAATCGTAAGAGCAGTGCAAGAAAAACAAAGTCACACACAGAGGAGAAACAATAAGATGAAGCTCGGATTATTTGGCAGAAACCATGCAGGCAAGAAGGCAATGGGATGACATATATAAAACCTTGAAAGAAAAAAATTGCCAGCCAAGAATAATATATGCTGCAGAACTCTCATTCAGATATGATGGTGAAATTAGGACATTTCCAGATAAACAGAAACTAAGGGACTATGTAAAAACCAAACCAAACCAAACTTACAAGAATTATTAAAGGAAGTCCTTCGGTCTGAGAACAAACAACATCAGACACAGACTGAATCTAGGATGCAGGATCATACCAGCCAGATACGAACCTAGGAAATGAACTTTCAAGGACTATCCAAAACCAAAAGAATTGCAACAGGGAACCAGAGAGGTTAATCTGTAAATGACAACAACATCAGAATAATAAAAGAGGGACTAAATGGTGTAGGTAGAGAACCTTCTAATAGAGAGGAAGGCAAGTCGATACCAAGCAATAGTAGACTGGTTCAAACCTAGGAAGATAAGGGTAAATTTCAAGGTAACACAAAGAAAGTTAACAAACCTACTCATCAAAATAAAGAAGAAAAACAT